ACAGCTCACTGCAGCCTTGTCCTCCCAGGCTCAACTGAGCCTTTCACTGCAAATTCCTGAGTAGCTGAAACTACAGGCATGTGCCCCCACACCTGACTAATTTTTGTATTTTTTGTAGAGACGGAGCCTTGCCATGTTGTCCAGGCTAGTAACTCCTGGGCTCAAGCAATCCTCCCACTTCAGCCTTCCAAAGTGTCGGAATTACAGGCATAAGCCACCACTCCTGGCCCATATTATGCATATTTTGTTAGCCATCATTCTATTCACTTATTTACACATATGTAGGGTCAAGCCCCACAGGGTCGGTGGGTTTTTCTCCCCGTGTGCGGAGACGAGAGATTGTAGGAATAAAGACACCAGACAAAGAGATTAAAGAAAAGACAGCTGGGCCCGGGGGACCACTACTACCACGACATGGAGACCAGTAGTGTAGTGGCCCCGAATGCCAGGCTGCACTGATATTTATTGGATACAAGACAAAGGGGCAGGGTAAGGAGCGTGAGCCATTTCCAATGATCGGTAAGGTCACATGGGTCACGTGTCCATTGGACAGGGGGCCCTTCCCTGCCCGGCAGCCGAGGCAGAGAGAGAGGGAGAGAGACAACTTACGCCGTTATTTCTGCGTATCAGAGACTTTTAGTACTTTCACTAATTTACTGCTGCTATCTAGAAGGCAGAGCCAGGTGTACAGGATGGAACATGAAGGTGGACTAGGAGCGTGACCACTGAAGCACAGCATGACAGGGAGACGGTTAGGCCTCCAGATAACTGCGGGCAGTCAGGCCCTCCTCAAGAGGTGGAGGAGTAGAGTCTTCTCTAAACTCCGGGGAAAGGGAGACTCCCTTTCCCAGTCCGCTAAGTAGCGGGTGTTTTTCCTTGACACTGACGCTACCGCTAGACCACGGTCCGCTTGGCAATGGACGTCTTCCCAGACGTTGGTGTTACCGCTAGACCAAGGAGCCCTCTGGTGGCCCTACCCGGGCATGACAGAAGGCTCACGCTCATCTTACGGTCACTTCTCACTATGTCTCCTCAGCTCCTCTGTATGACCTGGTTTTTCCTAGGTTATGATTGTAGAGCGAAGATTATTATAATATTGGAATAAAGAGCAGTTGCTACAAACTAATGATTAATGATATTCATATATAATCATATCTATGATCTATATCTAGCATAACTATTCTTATTTTATATATTTTATTATACTGGAACAGCTCGTGCCCTTGGCCTCTTGCCTCAGCACCTGGGTGGCTTGCTGCCCACACACATATTCATTGAGCATTTAAATCACTCTTTGCTGGGTATTGTGCCAGGTACTGTTACAGCCTAGCAGGTTCTTTTTGCCTGCTGCACAGAAAAAGCCAATACACTGAGACTGGTGTTGCAGCAGAGAGTTTAACAATTGCAGTGTGGCTCAGTAAGGATGGTGTGTGATATTTCTCAAATCTGCCTCCCTGAGAATTTGACAACTAGGGTTTTTAAGGATAGTTTGGTGGGGAGGGGGCTAGGGAATGGGCACTGCTGATTGATTGAGTTAGGGATGAAATCACAGGGGTATTGAAATTATCTTCGTGTGCTCAGTCGTTTCCTGGGTCGGGGACACCTGGGTGGTGTCAGTTGGTCCACTGAAAAATATCTCAAGCACCAGTCTTAGGTTTCACAATAGCAATGTTATCAGTAGGGGCCATTGGGAAGTTACAAATCTTTTTTCTTTTTGAGACTGAGTCTCTCTCTGTCGTCCAGGCTGGAGTGCAGTGGCGCGATCTTGGCTCACTGCAGCCTCCTCTTCCTGGGTTCAAGCGATTCTTCTCCCCTCAGCCTCTTGAGTAGCTGGGACTACAGGCACATGCTACCATGCCCGGATAATTTTTGTATTTTTAGTAGAAACGGGGTTTCACCATATTGGCCAGCCTGGTCTGAAACTCCTGAACTCATGATCTGCCTGCCTCAGCCTCCCAAAGTGCTGGGATTGCAGGTGTGAGCCACTGCTCCCAGCCAGAAGTTACAAATCTTATCACCACCAGCTAGTGACTCCTGAGTAGTAGGCAATTATAAAAAGGTAAGTTAGGAAACAATGACTAGTTGTTATTTAACTATGCCTAAACCTTAACAGAATTCAGGCCCCTACCATAATTCTGTTTTTGGCCTTTCATTAGTTTTATAAAAGCAGTGTCTGTCCCCAAAGAAAGAGTGGGTTCGTTTTGAGAAGGGGCCATCATCATCCTTGCTTTAAAGTTAAACTGCAAACTAAATTCCTCCCATAGTCAGCTTGGTCTGTGTGTAGGGATGAGCAAAGGCAGTTAGCTTGTGAGTTTAGAAGCAAGATAGAATCAGCTATGTTGGATGTCTCTCACTGTTACAGTTTTTGCAAAAGTGTTTTTAGTACCAGAACAAGATAGATATGGTCCCTGTACATGACAGAAAAGTAGAGTCTTAAGGAATGGATAATGCAAGGAAAACACTATTTAACTTATTTTTTATTGTTTCTTTGAAGCTGAGGACAAGAGTAAGTTGCTAATGATCATTTGATCCTTTCATTCTTACTACAATGTAATAGCACTGTTTTGCAAATATATGTAAAATATGTGTTAAGTGATCAACATGTACTGTGTACATTGTGAATTATTGTGTTCTCCATTATACCCATTCTTGCTAGCTTATAACCCCCTTTTTAAACAAAAACAGAGAATGAGAGAGCAATCTTGTACTGATTGATAACACAGATGCAAAAAAATGAGTTTTTTTTTTTAAAGGGAAGGGCTATGTTGCCCAGGCTGGTCTCAAACTCCTGGCCTCGTGCAATCCTCCCACCTTAGCTTCCCAAGTAGCTGGGATTATAGGTGAAGTCATTGCACCTGGCTTTGCTAAGTCTTAATTGTATTTATATTTTAAGCCAGTTAGGAGGCAAATTTTCTTTGAGTGTTTCATCAGTCTACCAAATCTTCGTCTTCAAGCTTTGGCCTGTTACTCTTCCTTACTTTCAAGCAAGCTCCTTCAAAGACTGTCTGCCCTCATATTTCATATTCTGTTTACTCTTTAACCCATTATAAACTGACTTCTGCCCCTTGACTCACTAATTACTTCCTGTTTATATTAGTACTTCTCAGCCTTTCTATATACTTGTCAGTGTCCACTTCTGCCCTCATGAAGTGTTCTCCCTCGGTTTCTGTGATACCCCTCTCTCAGTGTCCTCCTATCTTTCAGGCTATTCCTCTGTTTCCTTGAGGGACTCTTATTTTTGCTCATGCTTTGAATATTGCATTTTCTAGGGTGGGCATGGTGGCTCTCGCCTGTAATCCCAGCATTTTGGGAGGCTGAGGTGGGAGGATTGCTTGAGCCCAGAGTTTGAGATTAGCCTGGGCAAGATAGTGAGACCCTGTTTTAAAAATAATAATAGTAATTAATGTTACATTTTCCAAATTATGTGCTGAAGTTTCTTTTCCTCTTATATTCTTTCACTTGTCAATCTTCCATCTATTGTCCATGAATTAATGGTTCCTCAGTGTACATCTGGAGCTCTGCCTTTTGGTCTCAGCATCAGGCCTGAACTTACAATGTCTACTGAATTCACTTGATTGTCCTAAAATTCAACATTTTAATATCACTTAAAATCTATACAACCTACTGTATTCTCTTATTTTGGTACAACTTTTCATTTAATTTTGCCAATTCTAGTAAAAAATTACATCTTTAATATCGGTCAGATTTATCTTATTTTATCTGTCTCTAATCTCCTTATTCTTTCTCCTGGATATAGTAACTATCCCCCAGAGTGACCTTCTCCACTAGAATTGACCCCTTTGTAGTCTACCCTCATTGCCGCCACAGTGTTTTAGTATGTTATTGTTTATCTTAAAATCTTTTTGATACTTCTCATTACCCTGCAGTAGTTTTCAAATATCTCTCCATGTCCTACCTGGTTTAGGATCATTTAAAGAACTTTTGAGGCTGGGTGCAGTGGCTTATGCCTGTAGTCTCAGCACTTTGGGAGGCCGAGGCGGGCAGATTGCTTGAGTCCTGGAGTTTGAGACCAGCCTGGGCAACATGGTAAAACCCCATCTCTACAAAAAATACAAAAATCAGCCAGTTGTGGTGGCACACACCTCTAGTCCCACCTATTCGGGAGGCTGAGGTGGGAGGATCAGTTGAGCCTTCCAGGAGGCAGAGGTTGCAGTGAGCCAAGATCATGCCACTGCACTTCAGCCTGGACAACAAAGTGAGACCCTGTCTCAAAAAATCAAAAAATAACAACGCATATTCTGTATCTTTCTCCACAGATTCTGAATCAATATAGAACTTAGGAATCTTTAAAAAGTTTTCCACTGCCTTCGGGTCAGTGGTGTCAAAAAGTGTTCCAGATGGTTTTCATTAGTAGCCAGGGTTGAAAAACACTAACCTATACATGTGGCTCAATTCTTTTGGGGGGTCTTTGCATGCTTTTCTTTAATCAGATTTCTGCTGTACCCCTGCTCCCCTCTATGTCCCAGCCAGCACTGTTCTGGGTTTCTCAGATGGAACTCAGGTTGAAAATCACTGGGCGAATCCGCATCAGTGAGGCCCCCAAAGATTGTGGGTCTTGCAGAAGTCATAGCAGTGAGTACCGTAACGTACCTAAAATTCAGGTTTCTATTTCTAACATAGTTCTTTTTTATTGTTCTTCGGTGGCTTCATATGTATCGTATCTGGGCAGGTTGATCTGAATTGACCACTTAATCTTTTTCTCCCTAAATAATCATACATTTGTTTCCTCATTCATATATTAATTTGCTTATTTATTCATTCAAATAATCATTTATTTGACCACATAAAGGAATAGTACAGTGCCTGGGAGGAGAGGAGGTAGGTAGAAAATTTGAATAATATAAGTTTTCTATCCTTAAGGTTCTCAAGATGTATTTTATATTCAATCATAAAATACTATACAGAAAAGCAAATTATTAATGTTTTAAGAGAAACCATAGTATATTGTTTTCCACTGTTTTCTTTCTTTTTTTGTCCAGGAAAAGACCATGTTTGTAGATTTATTGGCTGTGGGAGGAATGATCGATTCAACTATGTGGTCATGCAGTTGCAGGTAGGTTACCTTGAAAACGTGTCTTGAAATCCTTCCGTTCTGATCAAAGTATACAATTACAGTAAATGTGAATAAAAAGTAACAATATTCTTAGTACCATGTGAGAATGTTTTATACTGTGCAGATGGAACTTTCTTTAAACAGACGATACACATTTTCCAAAAATGAAATAATTGTCTTTGTCCGCTATTTGAGTTGACCTGTATCTTTACGGATGGTCAGTCTTTGCAGTTTTCGATCCCTGGGTGGATGAGGGGATATAATGTGAATCTTGTCCCTTCTACTGTTCATTACCTTAGGGATTCCAGTTTTCCATTTGTATTCTAAAGTATTGTCTTAGTCTGTTTTGTGCTGCTGCAGAATACCCAAGACTGAGTAATGCATAAAGAACAGAGATTTATTTCTTACCATTCTGGAGGTTGGAAAATCCTAGATCTAGGGACCCACATCTTGCAGGGGCCTTCTTGCTGCATCATTCCATAGTAGAAGTTGGAAGTGCAAGTAAGTATGCACATGGGCAAGGAAGGTGAAGAAGGGGTCCTAGCTCATCCTTTTTGTCAGAAACCTACTTCCAAGATAACTACCCCACTTCCACACCAAAATATGTCTCAAAATAAGACATCTATATGGCCAAAAAACATATGAAAGAATGTTCAACATCACTGATTTTTAGAGAAATGCAAATCAAAACCACAGTAAGATACCAGCTCACACCAGTCAGAATGACTATTATTAAAAAGTCAGAAAATAACAGATGCTGGTGAGATTTCAGTGAAAAGGAAACATTTATACACTGCTGGTGGGAATACAAATTAGTTCAGCTACTGTGGAAAGCTGTCTAGTGATTTCTCAGAGGACTTAAAACAGAACTACCATTCAATTACGGGGTATATACCCAAAGGAATAAAATCATTCTACCAAAAAGACACATGCACTTACGTGTTCATCGCAGCACTATTCACAATAGCAAACAAGTGGAATTAACCTTACGTGCATATCAGTGGTGAACTGGATAAAGAGAATGTGGTACGTGTATACCATGGAATACTACACAGCCATAAAAATGAATGAAATCATATTCTTTGCAGCAACATGGATGCAGCTGGAGGCCATTATCCTAACCAAATTAATGCAGGAATAGAAAACCGAATACTGCATGTTCTTATAAGTGGGAGCTAAACATTGAGTACACATGGACACAAAGAGGGGAACAATAGACACCAGGGCCTACTTTGAGGGTGGAGCAAAGAAGGAGGATGAGGGTCAAAAAACTAGCTATTGGATACTATGCTCACTACCTGTGTGACAAAATCGTTTTCACACCAAACCCCAGCAACACACAATTTGCCCGTGTATCAAACCTGCATATGTACCCCTGAACCTGAAATAAATATTGAAAAAGAAAAGAAAAACCATAGCAAGTACCAATCTTGAGTACTTGAAACTTTAAACAGTAGTTGAGATAGAGGAGAAATGCCATTCCTTTTTCTTTTTTTTTTCCGTCAGTAACATAACTCTGTTCCATATATATATGTGTGTGTGTGTGTATATATATATGTATTTTTTTTTTCTTTTTTTTCTTTTGAGATGGAGTCTTGATCTGTCACCCAGGCTGGAGTGTAGTAGCATAATCTTGGCTCACTGAAACCTCCCCCTCCCAGGTTCAAGCGATTCTTCTGCCTCAGCCTCCCAAGTAGCTGGGATTACAGCCGTGCTCCACCAAGCTCGGCTAATTTTTGTATTTTTAGTAGAGATGGGATTTCATCACGTTGGCCACACTGGTCTCAAACTCCTGACCTCAGGTGATCTGCCCACCTTGGCTTCCCACAGTATTGGGATTACGGGCGTGAGCCACTGCCCCTGGCCTGTTCCCTGTTCTTTAGATGGTAGTGGAGTTAGGTCCAGAGGAAAGAATTTAGAATAGGAATATTGGAATAATGACTACAATGGGGAGAAGAGGGAAACCTTTCTATTTTCTCTGACACTACCTCTGCCCCTGAAAACACACAGACACACACACATACACACACACACACACACACACACACACACACACACACACAGAGAACTGTAGTCACCCTCAAAGTTTAAAAACCGTGGTTCATCTTGATCTTGCTGCCTAGATCTAGAATTCTCAGTATTTCTTTTCATCTTAAGCAAACATCGTTTTGGGCATTTGACTTCTTTTTTTTCTTTTTTTTTTTTTTTGAGACCCAGTCTCGCTCTGTCACCCAGGCTGAGTGCAGTGGCCCAATCTCGGCTCACTGCAACCTCTGCCTCTCAGGTTCAAGTGATTCTCCTGCCTCGGCTTCCGGAATAGCTGGGATTACAGGTGGCTGCCACCATGCCTGGCTATTTTTTGTATTTTTAGTAGAGACAGGGTTTTACCATGCTGGCCAAGCTGGTATTTAACTCCTAACCTCAGGCGATCCGCCCACCTCAGCCTCCCAAAGTGCTGGGATTACATGTGTGAGCCACCGTGCCCAGCCGGTTTCTTTATTTTCTTTCAAGTTATCTAAATAACAGTGATTCTAGAGACATAGATCCTGGCCTAAATGCTTCCTTTTCTCATCAGGAGGCTTTTCTTGTTTCCCTCAGCCATCCTTCAGATTTCATTTAAAGATATTAACCTCTGTAGATATAACCTTAAGGTCTTTTTGAGTCATGTGATTCACTAACTCTTGAGCCAACCTGGTTTTATTTATTTAAGCAGCTATCCCTGAACATTTTTTTTTTTTTTTTGAGACAGAGTCTCACTCTGTTGCCAGGCAGGTGTGCAGTGGCGCGATCTCGGCTCACTGCACCCTCCTCCTCCCGGATTCAAGTGATTATTGTGCCTCAGCCTCTCAAGTAGTTGGGATTACAGGCACACGGCACCACACCTGGCTAATTTTTATATTTATTAGAGACTGGATTTCACCATTTTGCCCAGGCTGGTCTTGAACTCCTGACCTCAAGTCATCCACCCACCTCAGCCTCCCAAAGTGCTGGGATTATAGGCGTGAGCCACCACGCCTGGCCTTTTTTTTTTTTTTTTTTTTGCGACGTTGACTTGCTTTGTCACCCAAGCTGGAGTACAGTGGCACGATCTCAGCTCACTGCAACCTTCACCTTCTGGGTTCAAGTGATTCTCCTGCCTCAGCCTCCAGTGTAGCTCAGACTACAGGTGCACACCAGCACGCCTGTGTAATTTTTGTATTTTTAGTAGAGACAGGATTTCACCATATTGACCAGGCTGGTCTTGAACTCAGCCTCCGGTGTAGCTCGGACTACAGGTGCGCGCCATCACACCTGTGTAATTTTTGTAGTTTTAGTAGAGACAAGGTTTCACATGTTGGCCAGGCTGGTCTTGAACTCCTGACCTAAGGTGATCTGCCCGCCTCAGTCTCCCAAAGCCCTGGGATTATAGGCGTGAGCCACTGCGCCCAGCCTCTGAACCTTTTTAGATCATTAATTTGGATCCTGCTTTCTCTCATTTTGGCTAGTAATAATATAACTTTTTGTGTGACATTTTGTAGTTTTCATCTGGATTTATCATCTTATTTGATCCTCATTATACCCCCATGGAGAGGAGAGAACAAGTTTTATCCCTCTTTTGCATATGGAGAAGCTGAGTCTCAAGGAGGTTTGTGATTTGTCTGGTACTAGCCTACTTGATGGGTATTAAAGCTTGGTGGAAGCCTGAACCCAGTATTCTTTAGGCAGTAATAAGAGAAAACTGTTTTGTTTCAAGTTACTACTGACTGGAGAATTATAGAAAGCAGGTTTTTTTCTTTAGTCTGCAGAGTCTTTCTCAGTCTTAGCATATACTCATTTTAATTCTTACACTTACCTAAATCTGACTTGCTGTAAATGGGAAGGCTCCTGGTACTGGGAAACCCAAGAGACTGGTGTATATTAGACAATGATAACCTTTGTGGCCTTTGGCAAGTTCCTATGGATTTGTCTAAGAACTTTTCCATTTGAATTACGTGCTATATTTTTTTCCTGTAACAAAAAAGTTAACCCATTTAAACTCCCATCTGTACAGTTTGTGGTTGACTTGATTTGGGATTAGGCTAAAGCTGGTATAACCGCTAGAGCATATTTTCTCTTATTTGACATATGGAAGATCACTACTGGGTCTCCTCCATGTATTCAGCTTCCCACAGAGAGTCCTAATTTATTCTAAAAACCATAAATTCATTATTCTTAAGATAAACTTGTTCTTTTCCTCCTGCTGATTCAATTACATAATATCTGCCTTAAAAATTGTTAAGGAACAACCCTATCTCTGTTGTAGAAATTCTAACTATTTGACGTTAAAATGGTTTTTAAAATCTTACAGAGCTCAAGCAGTTGTACACATTTTTTTCTCAATTCCCCTTGCAGGACCTTGGCCAGGTCTCACCTAATATTTTGTCACCATTGAAGCTTTATATGAGCATCTTTAGTGTAGCCTAAGAGTGATATATTGTGATAAGTACATCAACTATGGAGGTGCCAAACATTTTTTCGATTTCTGTAACCAGTACAACTGTAGATCTAGATTGTCTAACACCTACAACCTTTTAAAAACTTTGTTATGGGAAAAATTAAACATACACAAAGTAGAGAGAATAGTATAATTTATACCCATCTACTCATTACCCACAACTATCAGTATATGGTTAATCTTGTTTCAAGTATTTTCTCTTTCTCCTATCCCTCCCGAAATTATAGCAAATCCAAGGCATATTTTATCTACATATACATTTCTAGAAGACCAGAACTCTTTTTTTCTCTTAAAGTAACCAAAATACCCAATAATAATACCTTAATAATAGCACAAATATCAAACCAATCTTCAGATTTCCTTGATTGTCCATCTCTTTAATAAAAACAATTTTTTTTTTCATTTGGTTTATTTGAATTGGGTTCCAAATAGGGTTCACACATTGCCTATCTCTTAAGCCTCTTTCAATCTATTGGTTCTCCCTCTGTCTTTTATTTTCTTGCAATTTTCTTTTCATTGTGTTTAT